ACCTTTATTTCCTTCAAACCGAATACATTATAAAACATTGTAAGACACTCAGACTAGATTCAAAATTTGACATTGTCAATTGCTTGTTCATCTAAAGTCATCCAATGTCCCGCAGCTATCGAGATGCTAGTATACTACTAGTCTACTACTAATCAAAGAGATCACGGCGCCGTCAGATATAATGCACTATTAAAAATATCTTTTAGACTTCAAAATCAACCATTGTAGGTTATACATACAAACTAAATAATATTAATAGTCTTAGGGATCAGCACAACATTAATAATTAGGCTCAAAAGGCTATATACAATTTAAAGTGCAGGCAGATTAATTATAACACACCCATATGATCAAGAATAAGTGATGTGTGACTTCATTGTTATGAAAGGTCTATAAATAGCCCCAAGTATCATAATAACTCTATTACGTTTTTTTTTTTTTGTAATTTTTTTTAAGAGGTTTTTTTTTAAATTATAAAATATTATTGATTTGAGTATCGAAGTATTTACTTTAAAAAAACATTTTTGAGGTTTTCAAGTATAAAAGTAGTTCATGATATCAATAATAAGAATTCGTGAAATTGCTCGTACAAACAAGTTAATCAACACTTAAAATTAAAAGGGCCAACACACTTCAAAATACGAAATTTATATGGGTAAAAAAAATTAATTTTAATTTGATTGGTTTGGAAAGAAGAGAAGGAAAAGGTTTTCATTTTGATAGCACAAAAAATCATAGGTGAGAGATGGAGAAGAATTTTTATTTTATTATTATTATTTTTTATGTTTTTATATATCCAAAGAGAGAAAGGAATAAAAAGAGAATCACCAACAATTTCTTTTCCTTAAATTAAATAAGGGGTTTAATGTCTTTACCCTTTTAAAAATTTGAATTTTTATTTATGTTCATGTCTCATATTTACTCCCTTCCTTATTTTTACTTATCTCACTTTTTTTTATTTTATTTCATGAGATAATAAAATTTCTTTTATTTCAATACCACTCCTATAATTACAAACCCAAAAAGACCCTTGTCATCCAAGGAGAAGAGATTTTTCAGCTTGTAAAAGAGCTCTAGAACAATTAAGAATAAATGAGATATTCAAGGCATATTCATTGTAATTTTAATGTAAAAGAAAAAACAAAGGTAGTATATTTTGTGAGGATTGGTTCTTTTCAAGAAATTTACATCCAAAAAATAAATGTTATATTGGCCAATGGGATTGGGAACAAACTTAGTTATAATCAAGTTACAAACTCACAACTATCTTTATTCAGTGTATAATGATTTTAATACTAATAATATGTAATTAACAAATTTTTTTTTTTTTGTCAACCTATAATCACACAAGTTGGCTCTATAAAATTATTTTGAACTTTTAAATGCACATGGCTATTGGAACGTTACTATCTTTTCTGATCACTCCAATATTTATTTCTTTGCACACCTGGAAGTTAATGACCAATACATTATACCTCGCCTCTTTAAGTGGTTGATGCTGGAAAAATCAACGCTTCCCTTGTTTCTCATCTACCATTAATTTTATAGTGATTTTCTATCTTGTATCTTTAAGTGCAGATAAAAAATATAATAAATATTTTACAATCTCTCATGTGGTCTAGTAGTGGTTGTATTGCTTATTGAGTAGCAGGTGGAATCCACACTGATTATTAGTTTGACTCTCTTAAAAAACAGATACTAACTAATTTATCCTATAATTTTTTATTGTAAAAAAATATATATGTTATTTTATAATTAATTTATATAAAAAATAATAAAATTTAATTTGAATTTAATTAATTAATTAAAATTATTTATATAACAATGATATTAAATTAAAAATCTATTTTTATAATTTTTTATATAAATTAATTATAGAATAATATATTTATTACCTTATTAAGTTATATTTATGTTCAAGTTACAAATTAAACAAATACTTTTAAATGTTGATCTGATTGCCTGCCAACACCACAGTTGAGTAAACTCGACTATTTCTTTGCACACCTGGAAGTTAATGACCAGTACATTATACCTTGACCCTTTAAGTGGTTGATGACTTGATGCTGGAAAAATCACCACTTGGCCTGTTTCTCATCTACCATTAATTTTTATAAATGTTCTTCTTCCAACACTGCAGTTGAGTAAACTCGACTAAACATTAATTTAAGGTTTATCTCCTATCTTCTAGACACAGACTAAAAACGTAAAAAAATGTATATTTTTATTATTAATGTACATAAAAAAAATATTTTTAAAAGTTAATATTTATTTTAATACAATTATCATATAAATAATTTTAATTAATTAATTTAATTTAAGTTAATATTTATATTTTTATATAAATTAATTACAAAAATATAATAAATTAATATACGTTTTAACGCTCAATTTAAATTTAGAATGTATGATCTATTCTCACGTTATTAAAAAATAATATCATACAAAAAAGTGAAATGCAACCTACCTATGCCAACTTTATTTTATTTAAAATATATTTTATTTCAATATATGTAATTTGAAGGAAATGAAAAAAAGAGAACATATATTTCGTTTAGATAAATTAAAAAAAATTTTTAAAAAAAATTAAGGACCCATTTTCTTCCTTCTAAAACTTTTATGAATTTTCACTTTTTTCATACTCTCAAACCATATTTTTTTTAGTATTAGTAGTTTAATATTTAAAAATTATATTTAATCTCAACTAATTTAAAATCAATTTATATCATACTCCATAAAAAAAATTTAATATTTATTTTTTTATTCATAAAATTTAAAATTTTATTTAAAAAAATTAAATTCATTTTATTTAAACTAACAAATAAATAATTTTCCAGCATTATATATTCTCTTGAAAGATTAAGGAAGAAAAAATCAATTCACACAAAAACTCTCTTAACATTTATTCCTTCATTTATAAAACTTAAATTTAAAATTTTATTCAATAAAAACTAAATTTATTTTATCCAAACTAAAAAGTTATTAGTAGTATCATCTCATATTATTATAGTCAAAGAAACAGTTGTAAAAATGATACTTTGCCACAAAAGCTACATTCCAAGAAAAGTACTACTCAGGAGAGGAAAGGTCGTCTTGAGGGCAATAAAGACAATTCCTAATTTAATCTTTTAGTGCCACAAGTTGTTCAAACTTCGAAGCCCCACGAGAATTGCAAAAGTCGTAAAAAATATACCATATCCAACTTGCCGAAACAAAAAATTTCAGAAATCGGAGAAAAAAAAAGGGGCTTTTCACCGTCTCCGTCCGTCTTTCTTTCTTCTCCGGCGACGACCTTTTTGGTTCCCTTTGTAAATCTGAACCTACGAATTCCCCCCACAGCAAAAGCTCAAACACAGAAGACCAATTCATCATGGCCTTTTACACTCATCCCTGAGTTTTTTTTTTTTTTACCTATTAAAACCCCACTAAAAACCTCTGAATCCACTCTATATTCTTCAATTTCACTAACCCTGTAATGTCCAATTCAGGTGGTTTTTCTGTTACCAGAACGCAGTCCGGTGACCGGTTCTACAACCCGCCGGCGGTGAGGAGGCAACAGCAACTCTTGCAGCAGCAGCAGCAGTTGCAGAAGCATTTAAAGAGGCCGGCGCGGAAGGAGAGAAGCGTTAACTCTGCTGATTCAGCGGCGGAAGCTAGGACTGACTCGGATGATTCCACATTGTCCAGGCCTGATTCAGAATGCTCCGCTTCGCCGCCGAGAAGTGCTAATTTGACCAATTTGGATCGGCTCATGGAATCCGTTACTCCATTGGTACCTGCTCAGTACTTCTCAGAGGTAACTTGCTTGCTCTTGCTCTGTTTGGTTGCTATGAAGTTGAAGAAATGGAAATTAGAAGTAAAGAGACGAAAATACTGGATTTTGTTTTTATCATTAGTTCACTTCAGTCTCAAACTTTACTTTTAGCTCTGTCTGCTCTGTTTACTGGGAAAATTAATAAAAGTTTGTACGAAGTTCATAATATGGTTAATGCTTGAACCCCTAGTTTGGGAAATGAGATTTAGCTTTAGCTGGGATTGGTTCTGAGGGAATTATTCTAGACTGCTACTTTGCTTCATTCTTGTACTAGTGGAACACGGAAGTTAACCTCTAACCTCCTTAAATTTGTTTTAAATCAGAATCAGCATTATTTGTTTTAAATACTTGAAGCAATAACAACAATGTCATTTACAGTAGAAAATTTTTTGGAAGTTTTATTAGTTGTCTAGAATTATTGGTCCAATGGTGGGGAAATGGGCGAAACTTATATTTATCTTACGCTCTTTGTGATTTATGTTTCTGAATTAAGGTATTAAAAGTAAGCCAGATGGTAGAATTACTTTCCTTATTTTTCTTGAGCTGTTCACTACAAGAGCTCTCTAAGTGGTCTGTTCCAGATTTGGCAATGTTGTTCAATTTACGTTGTACAATGTTGTTAATATTTTGTTTTTTTCTCTTGGTGACAATAGGCAAGAATGAGGGGACGGAGAGCTCGTGAAGGAGACATACAACCATTCTTTAGACTTGGGGACCTATGGGAATCTTACAGTGAGTGGAGTGTGTATGGAGTTGGAGTACCCCTCTTATTGAATGGTAGTGAATCTGTTAAGCAGTATTATGTTCCTTCCTTGTCAGGCATGCAACTGTACGTAGACCCACATAGACCCAGGTTAGCCTCTTTCTTTGAATCATATTTGCCCACAACTCAAGTTATACTGTTCTGCGACCATTGTTTCTTTCCATTTACTGTTAGATATTCTTTATTGTGTCAAAATATGCTCTTTTGCCTGCATGTCTGGTGCAGAATATTCAGAAATTTTACTTTCAAATTGTTGTCATAACATTATCACTTTTCCACTATAAACTTGTAACTTGCCACTTTTGCTAGTTTCTGTTTTTTGCTTCCTCACAATATTGCAATAATACTCATGTAATTAATTATCATAATACCTCTCACCTTGATGTATGGTGCCTTTCCACCTCAATTTTTTAGTTTTCCTTTGGAGATCCTTTTCACCTTGATTGTTCATTTTACTGATCTTTTCTGAGAAAATCAACATTAAGTGTGAATCTCATGCAACATAAAAGGGTCTTGTAGTGTGATTGCATGCAATTTTTTCAAGGGTCCTATGTTTGTCCATGGTTGTTCAGCTCTTTTTTTAACAGTGTGATCCATTTATTTATTTTGAAGCCTGTACCTTTGTGGAATTTGCTTGCATATAGATTATCCTTGTTAGTGTAATTTACTTATATGTCCTGCAGTTGAAATGTTTCTTTATTACGAGGAAATGCTCATTCATAGATGAAAGAGAGCATTATGTTTATAAAGGAAACTGAACCTTTGTTTGGAAATGAAAGCTCTTGTTTTCTTCTTTTTCTTCACTATTGTTTGGAAAATATGCTAGATATATTGCATATTGAAATGGATTTCTCAAAATTGTTAATTTCGTTATGTAGATTGCTATTTCTTGTTCTTCACAATAATTTAGTTAGGGATGTCAAATCCTTCAGAATTTATCAGTTGGGGCATATATGACAGTAAGCTTAGCAGATATTCATCATTGACTTTGCCTTAAAAAGTGACTTGATACAAGCATCCTCCATTCATTACTTAATTATTGGTCTGGCAAATCTGAGCCTAGGCATCTATGTGGCTGAGTGCCCAATGCTTGTAATACGATATGATATCATGTGGTGAATTTGCTAAATTCTGTCTTTTAAATTGCCCAACTGTTTTATCTGAGAGAGAGAGAGAAGAAGAGTTGCCCTACTATATTGTTGCTGTTGTTTCTGAAAATTCCCCATAATATATCTATCAGGAGGCCTGGTGAGGTTACTGATGCTGACTCTTCAAGGGAGACAAGTAGTGGTGGCAGTAGTGATTGTGAGGCAGAGAGGTGGTCCAGAAGTGGTGTTGATGGATCTCAGGGTCAGCACAACATCATTAACTCTTTCTCCCAGAAAATGAACAGACTTACATTGAGAGATAAACCTCATCTGAGTTCATCTAGTGATGAAGCTGAGGTTTCAAAGTCACCTGGGATGCTGATTTATGAATACTTGGAACAAGAACAACCCCATCATCGAAAACCATTATACGACAAGGCAAGTCCAATTAATAGAATAAGTTACTGAGCCTTTTTTCTTTCAATGATAGTTTTTCCTAACTTAGATGCCTGTGTTGTTTTTTTCTGCCTCAATTTTACCCTGCCCATCCACAGATTTCAAGTCTTGTGACTCAATTTCCAGAAATCAGCAAGTACAGGAGCTCTGATCTATTACCCTCTAGCTGGATTGCTGTGGCTTGGTGAGATTTCTCGTCCTTAAAGGATAAGATGTTAGATTGATGACATAGTTCTATATTTATTGTATCTTATTGTGCTTTACATGTTATTTCTGGTGTAGGTATCCAATATACAGAATACCTATGGGTCCAACTCTACAAAACCTTGATGCATCTTTCTTAACCTTCCATTCTTTGTCTACATGCTCTAGAAGTACATTTCTCTCACCTATTTGCTGATTCATACAGTGCAGTTATATCATTTGCCTTATTGAGTTGTAATTTAGTTGTCTTTGATTACTTGAACAGGCAAAAATCAGTTACAACATCTCCCTCCTGGTGGTAGGAGGGTCAATGATGCATCTCCGAAGTTTTCTCTACCTGTCGTTGGTCTTGCTTCTTATAAATTGAGAGGTTCAATTTTGACTGCCAATGAAATCCATGAAAGGCAGCAAGCAGATTTTCTGATGCAAGCTGCTGACGATTGGCTTCAGCGTTTGCAAGTCAATCTCCCTGATTTCCAGTTCTTTGTTTCACATAACTCACAGTGGAGATAGCAGGGAATGAATCACCTTAAGCTCACTTCTGTATAGACAGAGAAGTCCAAGGTGTCAATTAAGGATTGAAATTTGTTAAACACAAGCTAACTTAATAACTTTGCTTTATTCTGTAAAGGTTTTTTGGTTGCAAATCAGCATCCAGAAAGGGACAAAATGCATGCGGTTTCTGTAAGATTTGAAAAGGAAAATCGAGGCGAAACAAGCAACTAGACACTATAAAAATTTCCAGATGGACGTTGTGGCAGTTGTTTTCTCCTTTCCAGGCGGGGTCCAAGGAACAGAGATCTGTAAATTAAACCAAAGATGTTGCCTCAATGTTTGTGGGGGTGGCTCAAACCTCGTTGGTCAAAAGTCGGTAGTAATCATCTGCCATGTGCTTGTTGTCCCTGTCCCTAAACTACACTTGTCTTTGCATGTTTATGCTCACCATACCTGTATTTTCCTGAGGAAGGGTAAAACTAAAACATCAATTTATCAAATAGTTTCGAGTCGTTTGTGGGAGCGTTGATTGTTTATTTTTAACTGAAAAACTTTGTATTAAATTAGTAAATGTATATCGATTATATTTAATGAGTGGCAAAAGTTAATAAAAATTAGATTTCAAAATAGAGATATTGCGTTAAAATCTTGAGAGAAATGAAAAGGAATTAAGGAAAGGTGGTCATTTTGTATAACTTATCATTTGATACAACAAAAAGACGTGAGAATAAGGCTCTGGGTTGGGATAAAGACAGTAATAAATGGGGATAATGTGAGAGTTGGATAATTTTATTTTATCCTAGATATTTAGTTTAGCTAACTGGAAACTAAAACACGACTTATTGATTCGAGTAGAAGAAAATTGAATCTTTTAAGATCTCGAGTGAAATTTTATAAACGGATAAATAAGTGCTAAAAAAGAGAGAGAGAGAGAGAGAAATCTGAACCAGAAATCAAGAAGCGGACAAAACCGAGTTGGGATAAGGATAGGCCGATTAGATCAATGGTATTCTGGTTTTGGGCTTCCTTTTGGGCCTAAAGCCCCGAATATCGCGAAAGCCTAACTTATCCCTTATCCTAGAAACCAAAATCATCCTTATCAGCGATTAGTTTTGAAAGGCAGTAGGGATAAGATAACCCAATCAGGGCAGTGATCGTTCTCTTTCTTCCCGTCGCAACCCTATTCCGGAAAAAGATTATCCCCGAACTAGCAGAATCTCACTCCTGTCTACCCACACGCCAGAATCAGAGGTCCGGTTTTACTGAATTCTACTGCACTAATTTCATCGTTTCTCTGAGTTCTTAGCTTGGATTGCATATTTTTTTGATTTCGATGCAGAATTGTAGTCCTGTTGATTCTTCATCTTGTGATATTGAATTATGAATTTGCCACTTCCCTCATGTGCTTGTAGTGTTTCGATGTAGTGCAGAGCAATTTTAATCTTGACGTTGATAATCATAATTTCTTATCAAAGTTGGGAAATTTGTATATTTTCAAATTGCCATGTCTGAAATTTGATGGGTTGTGAAAGAATTGATTTTGAGTGTTATGATGATATGGGTTAGTTTAAATCATGATGATAAATGGGTTTGTATTTATCATTGCATTCCTTATCTTGAGAATTGATGAATGAGTGAATGAGTGAATGGGTGGATTCAAGCAATACAACTCTTTTGGTAAGTTTTGATTTTATAAATGTTTTGTACTTTTTGCTGATGATTTTCTTAAATTGTAGAATTATGGGCATCCAAGCTAGAAATGCTAATGATCGCCTTAGGACGGTTTGGACTCCTGAAATGGATCGGTTTTTCATTGACCTTATGCTAGACCAGGTCAAAGAAGGTAATAGGTATGATGATCAGTTTGGAAAATTGGCATGGAAGCATATGTCTACAGTGTTCAATGAGAAATTCAAGTTTCAATTTGAAAAGGATATTCTTAAAAATCGGCACAAGACACTTAGGAATCTGTATAGGGCTGTTAAGAATCTCTTGAATCAGAGAGGCTTTAGCTGGGATCCGAAGCGGAAAATGGTGAGAGCTGACAACAGAGTCTGGGAAGAATATCTCAAGGTGCCATGCTTAATTATTTGGAAATTGAAGAGTTATATTATATTCTTAGGTCTTACATGTTATGCTCACAGGTGCACAAGGATGCGCGTTCATTCAGAGTAAAAACTATCCCTTACTATAATGATTTGTGTGCCATTTTTGGACATGAAACAACTGAGCAAGAAGGTAATAATGCTATTCAAAATGCCAGTTTGGAGGATCATGTATCCCATTGATAGTTCTTATGTTTAACCAGGTGGTGACAACGACGATCTGGACAAAAGAACATTACAATCTGGTGACAACAAAACAAGTGCTGTCACTCAGACTGCAAGTACTAGCCAGGAAGCTGCAGAGACTGTTCCTGGAACTACAGTCGAAGAAGATGGCAACATTTCTACTCCAAATGAAGTTGTTAATGATACACTGCAAGAGATGCCAAATGAAACAGAAAGTACAATTCCGTTTCGTACTAGAACATCTTGGCAACCATCAATGGACCGTTATTTCATTAATCTTTTGCTAGAGCAAGTGCGGAAAGGGAGCAAAATTGATGGTGTATTCCGCAGAGAAGCATGGATGGAGATGATTGCATCATTTAATGCTAAATTTGGTTTTAGCTATGACATGGATATTTTAAAAAATCGCTATAAAACTCTTAGAAGGCAATATAATGCTGTAAATAATCTTCTTGAACTAGATGGGTTTGCCTGGGATGACACTCGTCAAATGGTGACTGCTGATGATTCTGTCTGGCAAGACTGTATCAAGGTATGTATCTGTGCATATTTTTATCATGTATTTAAATATCAAACTAGTTGCGGCTCTCCAATCAAATGTTATTTTCACTTTAAGAGATGTTTAGAGAGTTTTGTGTTTTCTCACAAGTATAAAGAAATTTGGAACACACACGGGACCAATGTTTTTTTTGGCTTATTTGTTTATATTGTCGAACTAGTCTTTTGAGGATGGATAGACTTTCTAATCAGAATTGTGACTTGGTTTCCTGTTTAATACAGTCTTGTTAACTAAAATGTGAGACTCATTAGATGTGAGTGTATGGTAATCATAAATTTGTATCTTTGGACCTAATGACATGAGCTCAATTCTTCCATTGGGGCTTTAAAATGCTTTGATGTGAAAACTTGCAGAAACATGCTGATGCACGACAATTCATGACCCGTCCTGTGCCATACTACAAAGACTTGCGTGTCATATGTAGAGATGGAAATGCTGATGATAGTGACTGCTTTTCCCCTCAATGTTTGGAGCCACAAAATGAGGTCCAAGGAGAGAAGTCCCATGGTTCAGGAAAGAGGTCTCAATCTCCAGCAGAATCAGTTTCTAGTGAAGATCAAGTCGGTGATGCACTGGAGCCAGGACATAGGCTTTCAAAGACTGCTGGGTCTAACATGAAGGGCAAACGACAATCAGGAAACCAGTCTAGTTCTCCACATCCAAAGAAATCAAGAAGTGAAGACGACAGCATGGCTAGTGCCATTCGTAAGATGGCAACTGTTGTTTCTTCTTTGACAGAGAAGAAGAAAGATGAGGAGACTTCAAACACAGTTTCGATAGAGAATGTAATTGCAGCGGTACAAGAATTGCCGGACATGGATGAAGACCTTATATTGGATGCATGTGACTTCTTAGAGGATGAAATGAAAGCAAAAACATTTATGGCTCTGGATCCCAAACTACGAAAGAAATGGTTGTTAAGGAAGCTGCGCCCTGACTTATAATTTTAGTTGAGTTTTATCTTGTCGCAGATTAGCTCAATTGAAAAGGCTCTTGACATACCGGACTTGTTTAGATTTTATAATAATAATCAGCTGTAAAGTTCAATTAGTTGAATATAGCATATTGCATTTGAGTTTAGCCTGTCTACTTTGCTAGAAACTGATTCCAATAGATAAAGATAATTACATAATGCATTGCAAAGAAGTTTCCCTCATTGATAGCACTCTGACATTGGCACACACAACATTTAAGCTCAACAATGGGCACAACCACCACCTTAACAATCCCAGCAACCGAAAAATGCATACACCAGCACTATGAAAAAGATAAAATTGCAAACTTCAAGGGTAGGCTGATTGAAATTGAAATTGGAATCTTGCATTAGCATCAGAGTTTAGAATAAGATGGCATGCTGACTACAGATTGTAAAACTAATTATGCCTAACTTCTACATCTGCTCCACTTTCTCAATGGACGTATCATCTTATAATTCACCGGAAATAACATTGATGACAAACTTGTTAATTTGTACTCAGAAGCAGACAACAGATGTTGCTAAAATGTCTTTGTTCATAGGTCATTGTCAAAGATGGTGGACAGCAAAAGGTGCTGTACAAATTCACATCTCCTGGCCATCGCCATGAGGTCCTTGTCTGATGAAGGAGACAGGTGGACATTTCTGTAACCATAAAACTTCCATCAAATTCATGTAAAGAGGGTAATGCTAGAATCAAAATTTGACATCTAAGTTAACGAAAACATGTTTCAATACCGTTAAAAGGAGGCAAGAAATTCTCATACTACAAAATATCACAAAGCACGTGAAATCAGAAGATGAAAAGCACAAGAAATGAGAAAGCACATTTAGAATTCAGTGGGCGCACGCAATCTTGAGACATCGCTTTGTTTTAGTTCTTATTTGGGCAACACGGTTTCCCACAATTCTATTCTCTTGTTTCCATGCAGTAAAGGTTAGACTAATTCTAATTGTGATTTAATTAATCTCTATTGTTCATAATAACACTTTTTCTTCTCTCAAATGATTATTGTCTCCTAAAATCTTATAATAATGACTGTCTAGATTGCCTCCATGCTATCTAAAGATAAATTTTGCTTCTACATCCAAGTTGTAATTGTACCTCCTCAGGTTTCTCATAATCAGCTGACTTGTTACTTTTCACCAATATAGTATAATCACTAGCAAAACCAAAAACTCAACCACCTAAATCAGCACTCTAGGATTCCATGCTAGTCCAAATCCTCACTCTCATCTCTAAGTCCTTGATTCTTTAGATATTTTTGCCTATTATAGTTACACAGTTTCTGAAACAGAGTATTAACAGATTGTCTCAACTTAACATCCATTACCAGCACTGTGACCATTTTCCCAAAAAATTATGCTTTAAAAGAAAGCATCAAAAATAAAATAAAATAAAAGGCTCAACATGGTTAGAATGCGTAAATCAAACTTACTTCTCTAAGATTTTCTCATCTGACCTAGTTTCCTCTAAGCTCACATTAGTTGAAGTGGTTGGCTGTATACTCTCAGGCTGATCAGGCAGAGCTACACAGGAAAGAAATGAAAGCAATGGATCAAGTGCCATTTTGGAGGAAGAGGTTGTAGATGATGACCTAGAAGGAAGTGACTGAAAATGTTCATCAAGGAGCTCCCTCCTTAAGGAAGAACGCGTTGAACCTCTGTGAAGTCTCAATCTGTGGTGACTGTAATTGATTGTCAAGGAATACAGATTATGAGCCTCATACTATTGTCTTGGTAATATGATAGTTAGTTATGGATAAACAGGAGATGTCAGGTCAGAAAACTTCCAAGCAAAAATGAAATAAACTACACAAGGTAGTGGGTTTGAACTTATACAAGTTAAAAGGATATCTTTAAAATGCTCCCATGCTGTGTTGTTATGTGTCCAACCATGTTAATTCCCACCCTGGTAGCACAAATAGGGCATACCTGCCAGCGTAAATGAAAGTGATTTTAAGCACAATTTCCCTCTCAAAGGCACAGTTAAAGCCAACTATAAGTGATCAAAAAGAACCCTTTATAATGCAGAGTACTCCCTATCAGTACCAAAACCTGTTCTAAGCAAGCTCAAAAAGGAACTGACATATACTTCTCAGGCATCAATCATGATGTACAAAGGAGTTTGTTCATTTTAACTACCTCAAAAATAATAGTCAAATAGGCAAATGGCCAAGAAGGATCTCAAACAGTAGCCTAGCCAGAAAGTAGTAGACATAAATGGTAAAACTTGATGGAATAAACAGAAAAGGAATTATCTATATTGCCAGATTAAGAGCATTTGAGGTTCAAATTATCGTTTCTTTAACTGATGCATTGCTATTCAAGACTCAAAACCTCCATTTCAAACTATTTTCCATCATTAAGAAAACAAAACCAACTCAGAAATGGTAAAAACAATCCCAATTAACCATCAATTCTGAAAATCCTCTTCAAAATCATTACTTCTTTTCTACTCCCCCAATCCCATTGTCACTTCAAGACAAGAATGGAACAGGAAATCTGAATACTAAACGGGTATGAGCGTATCTCTCTACTCTCTAGGTAACTTCAATGCCCAAAACACGTACAGACATACCCCGGACTCAGCTTCAACAGGATGCTCCTTATCAATATGGCAGCAAAATTCAACTAAATCAAAATCCTCCGAACAAAATGGGCATGGATATTCTGTCCTCAGTTCATCATCATCATCTTCAAAATCAATGCAAACATCTGTTCCAGCAACCAAAATGAACTCACCATTCAAAACACACCCAAAAATTCTACCTCATCAACAACAGAAAAACTCAGAATGGGAAAAAAAAATAAAAAAAAGAAACATTTTGAAGTCACTTACCATTCCGTGACATAAGACTCAACTGAGAGCTACTTGAGATGCCAAACCTCCATGTATCATCCTCCATTGAATCTCACTCACCACAGGCTTCGTTCTACCTCAAGTTCAAAACTTGACCCGGATTTTCCAATCCCCAATTGCTATTGGTGAATGGGTTTTCCCCGAATCTTCTTTCCCTTTTCTTCTCCTCTACGAACAACTGAAGCAGCAAAGTGAAACATCAACGAAGAAACCGCTTATGACTGCTGGGAGTAGTATTTTTCTAAGGTTGTGACTAGGGAAGGCATGGAAGAATGAATCCTTAATGAACAAGAATTCTGACTCTAAAATTACGATCAACTCCCCCGCGACGCGTTGGTTCTAATTACCCATTTACCCTCGACAACGAATGGAGAAGAAAGAAGGAAGAAAAGTCTGGATTTGAAATTTTATTTTTATTTTTTTATTTTGATTGGATAATAAAATATAATTATTTTTTATTTTATATTTTATTTTACTTACTTATCATATTATTTAAATTTAAAATATTTTATTTTTAATATAAAAAAATAATCATTAAATTATTTAAATAATTAATTGAAATTTTATTTTTTAATTACTTTAATGTCCAGTGAAGGTCGACTTTTTTGCGGAACCAATCCCCATATGAAAAGGGTTCGTTTTATGGGACCTTATGTATCGACTGGGGTTGTTGTCGTCTTTCTCAATCTGCTTTGACGGTTCCTTTTTAGGTTTTTCCTAACATGTGAGTACATGCTGCTGAGAATGTGCTTTTTAGTTTTATTTTTTAATTTATAAAATATAAATTTTTTTAAGTTAAAAAATTAAATTAAAATTTTTTAAAATAAATAAAGGGAGTATTTATTATATATGGTTAATGTTTGTTCGCTTTATTTTTAAAAAATTAAGAGGAAAAAAGAAAAAAATATCTTACTTCATACTTTAAAAATAGATTATTTTAATTTTTTTTCAATATGTGTTTATTAAAATGACGTAGTTTTGAAATAATATTTTTCTTAATATTTAGAAAGTAAGACGAATAAGTA